CTGACGTAAAACTGTCACTTTCCTTTCGGAGTCAGGCAGCATGTTGCATGCATTGAAAAGAATTCTTCCAGGGATATCAAACGTCAGGGTTTTAGTACAAACTACCATTACCAGATGTGAAACTCTGGGTAAATCACTAAGGGCTTCCATTTTCTCAACTGTAAAATGAGGGCTTCGATTAGACTATTTCTAAGGATCTTCCTTCCCTCTTGAACATCTTGACAATAGTTTCAGTATTTGTCACTAAAATTGTTTTGAGTAGATTTGAGATACTGCTATAATCTTTTACAAAGTGTAGTTAAGTACTATACTTTAAAACATTATCCCCAAACACAAACTGAGTTAGGTAGAACACTATATAAACTTGATTGATTTGTAACGTTAGTCCCTGTAGGATAGACCGCAGACTCCTTGTTGTTACTCCCAAGCCCCTTCAGGAATTGAGCTGTGCCTCCAGGCTCATTTCCTAACAAGTCCTCCAAGTAAGGAACGCCTTGTCCCAGGCAAATCTAATAACCAAATCTAATAAGCAAATCCTTAGAGCCGGCATGCATAGCCTGTATTTAGTCGATCTCCTTCTTCCGCCTAGGATGCACTTCCTCTTCACCTCCACGTCTTCATGGAGAACTACAATTCATCCAAGACCTGGCCCAAGGTTCTCTTCAACTATAAATTGTATCAGGGGCATATGTTTATACGTCATTAGCTGCTTGTGGGTACCAGCCATTGTATTCATGCTTATTTCTCCCCTTTAGATTTCATCTGGTATTCTCCCTTGGCCTGCTTTCTGTTCTTTGGTAAATCTCGGAGCCTTTCCTCTGGCTCTTCTCTTTGCCTAGAGATTCTTTCCCTGTCCCCATATCTGTTCTTCACAGGACTAGCTCCGTCATCATTCAGTCCCCAGCTCAAATGTCACCTCTGCAGAGAAGCAGTCCTTACTGTTTCAGAGCTAAAGTAGTGCCCCCTACCAACAGCCTTCCAATCATTTTCTTACCCTGTTTCATTTCTGCTGAAGCATTTCTCGCCATCAGAAACGATCTTGTTTATTTCCATGTTTAGTTGTTCCTCTTCCCAGTTCGCCCCTCATTAGAACACATTCCTCTCCGTGGCATGCAGTGTGACCTTGTTTATTCATTCACTCATGTAGCCCTAGTGCCTATAGCAGCGCCTGACCATAGTGTCAATAAATATCTTTGGAATTAGTGTATCATGTGTAGTGTTTGCAACTATAGGAGTGGGTATAAATCATATTATTGTATGAAGAGTGAAAATAAAAAAACAGGCATCCTATTCAACCTCCCTTTCCTTCCCACCTCTCTAGCAACTGTGCTGAGTCATTATTTGAATGTTTTCGCCTTTCATCTTTCATATCTGTCTTTGCATGTCAAGAATGCATTAAGGCCTAACTTTTTGATGGCTTTCTAGAGCATAGACACTGGAGCCAAACTGTCTGGGTTTGAGTCCCAGTTCTGTCTATGTATGACCTTGGACAAGTCATTCAACCTCTCTGTGCCTCAGTTTCCACATCCAGACAATGATGCCTGCCTCGTGGGATTGTTGAGATGATTACAAGGATATATGTGAAACACTCAGAACAATGCCTGACCATAGTAAGTACAATAAGTCATTAACATTGTTTCCATCCTGTGGAGACAGGACACAATTGAAAATTCCAAATAAAAGGAGTATTTGTCCCCGAGATGAATCGGATGGAGAAAGTTTCTGAGACAGAGAAATGAGAGCAGCAAGACATTTGCTTTCAGGAATTCAAAACAACATAGTTTATTAATTTCACATTTATTTATTATACACACACACACATATAGGAAATCTGAAAGTTACTTAGAGAACCTCCATTTTTTGTTGAATGTTATAAATTTTACTTTAAAATAGTTTAACAAAACTGATTTTTAAAATTTAAAAATAAAATCCATTACATCAAGATCTCGAGCATTTAAGAAATTGTAAAAACCATGATTCGAGTCAACAATTCTGTGTTTTGAGATTTGGTGGGTAAACATGATTTCATTTGTCTATGAAGAATTTACTTTGTTCCTTTCTGGCTTGTTCAAGGCTTTCGAAAGTAATCATTCCTTTTGGCAACTGCAATGTACTCTTTTCTGATTCCAGTATGTTCTCGGCTTCACCTTAAATAAAGTAGACATACACAAGGTGACAAAGGGGTCTCAGCATTTCGTGAGAAGGCCTACTTGCTATGTTCCAGTGACAAGCTGCAGTACTGTTTGGAGGGATCCTCCCAAGTCTTAAAGTTAAATATTTCACCCATTGTCCTCAGAAGTAACTTCCCAAAGGAAATGTTAGAGTAGGCAGATACATAGCTATGAGCTGAGGAAAGGTAGGCCATCAGGACAGGGTTAAAAGACCACACTCGGCAGGAATTTATAAATAGGAACAAAAACTTCACTGAATAACAGAAACCATAAGTTCCCATACAATAAAATGTACATAACAGGATGTTATGTTCACTTGAATTTTACAGAATAATAGAAGCCTGTAAGTTCCCATACAATAACAAAGCGTTTTGTCCAAACTGTTCCCCCCAGGAGGCCAAAATAAATCAAGCCAGATGGCCCAGGCAGGATATAAGTCAACGACGTCCTGGACCTGTAGTTTCTGCTTTCCTTAGGTTAAACCAACCATGTCTGGAGTCTGTGTAGAAGGGAGGATACATCACAATTGACCACTATACGACCCTACTTTGAGGGAGCTTGACTTACATGGACAAATATAGTTAACTGAGCATGCGCCTGCCCTCAAAATCCACAAGGCGCAGGAGTAAGACTTCCCACCTATGGGCACATACTGCGCATGCCCTATCCCCGAAGCTGGACGTACAAAGGGAGGACTGACAGGTTGGACCCTCTTCCTCACTTTCTGTATAAACCCGCACGTTATTGCTCCTCTTGCTTCTCGGGGCACTCAGTCCTCTATGGAAGTGCCCGTCTGGACTGCTCTCAAGTGTACTCTGCTTAATTGCTTGTGCTTGCCACTGTTTATCTACTCTGTCTCTCTTCTTCGAGTGACCGACCTCCACGCAAATCTTTCATGGGGGACTCAAGGACCGAGCCCCGGACTCTTAAACGACGCAGACAGACATCTGATTGACGGTAATAGAAACACAGTGATGAATTCTGAAGACTCAGAGAGAAATCAGATGCCAGGGATTTTATCTGACAGAAGAAAGCATTTAAAAATATAGAAGAGAAAGCATACCAAGTAATATTTTTTTGCCTTCAAGGAAACTCAGGATGATAAGTATTAGTTATGTTTGGAGGGGTTTGAGGTAGAGAAACTGCATATAGTCCCCTTCCTATTGCCCCTTAACATATCACAAGTGACATGAGAGAAAATAAAGTTTACTAAAATTCTAAATTTTCAGGAAAGCTGTTTGACCTGAAACTATTAGTGAATACCCAAATATTTGTTCTTTAGTCTGTATATATACATACAGACACATATACACACTTTCAAAAACAATTCCTCTTTCAGATAATAGCTAGTAATTTCTTGGGCCATTGACTTGCCAACTTTTATTGTTAAAGACTAATTAGCAAAATTAATAAAATATGCACATTGATATTTCGTAAATTTTGGGAATAAAGGCAAATGTTTTAAGTTCTGTTTTAGCATAGTTAATTTATACTCCAAACCCAACAGAGCAGACTACAAGTTTCAAATATTACAGCATTTCAACCATCTGCAAACATTTTTTTCCTCTGTCTTAAATAGTAAGTAAAGATCATTATAACTTGTATATAATTAAGCAGGCCACTGATGAAAGATTAAATGTTTCCATGTAAGAGTGTCTTGCATACAGCAAATCTCAGTATGTATTTACAGAATGGTTGATGATAAATTCAATCAAACAAGGATTATATATCTTGGGGTCATCACTAGTTAACAGGGCTAAATGTTAACTTAAACTTTCTAATATGGTAAGTTTCCTGGTGGATTCTAAAGTTGTATTTTTTTTTTTAAATGAGAAATTCCTACAACATGCCTTGAAAGTTTAAAATTTTATGGACCTGTAATAAAAGTACTTCCACAATATACAATCAAAATGGTTATTTTGGGGTTGATATTAATTATAAAAATAAATTCCTAAAAAATAAACTTGCTCTTACTAGTAGTAAGTTCAATGTTGTGTAAGAGTTGACAAATCTTAATAGTACATATTAATTTTTATGAGGCACTGAGAACTCTAATGTCCATATAAACAGTGAGACATAGTTGAGCTCAGACTAATGAATTCTTAAGCAAATGAGTAATATGAAACTGAGCTGGTTATTGAAATGAGTTTCAACGTTAACAAATCAGTTGTATATAGTTAATGTCCAGCTTAAAATGGTATTGTACTCTAAAATTAATTTGTAGGTCAGTGTTTTAGAATTCAGAATACATTTTTCCATATAAATCAATTTCTAGGCCACCAACAAAAAACCATTTAGCCCACAATACAGATGAATTATGATACCAATAATATCTGACTACGAAGGACATTTTAACATAGTATCTATATGGGAAACATTATTTCCATTTTCAAGTCAGAATTTTTAAGAACATATAATCCCTTCTAGGCGCAGGAATGAGATGTTCTCCCTACTCTCAATCCTGTACCTCCTTCTTTCCCAGCCAAACCAGTCCCCACAGAGCTTCAAGGGTGGACTTATAGCTCAGGAGAGAACAGAAAGGCAAAAATGAAGGCTTGAGAAATTACTGTTTCCAACATGCTCTGGGTTGAAGGCTTGAAAAAGGGGAACACAGGGATCGCCATGTGAGTGTGGGGAGAATTTGGGAGACATGGCTATCTTAGACTAATGGGAAACTCTCTTCTTGGAGCAAAATGGCTTCTGTGTGGCAGCAGTGCTATTTGATAGGGCAATAGGAGCCAGGGTTCTGTGAGAGCGCACAGTGCTGGTGAATATTTAACAACCAGCTCTCCGGGGAGAAAAAATGTATATAAGTTTATTACATACATATGTTTATTATAAACATTACTTATATAAAATATATGTAGCACACAATTTATAAGTAATAAAATGTACAATACATTGTATCATAAATTCCATATAGCAAATTGATTCTCACAGAACATTTTCACTGATTTTTGCTGAACTCTTGTATCCATAGCTAACCTATAGTAGCAGATGATGGGAGTATAATTCCAATATGAATGATGGTTGGTGTTTTCATTCACATTAATGAGTAGGACAAAAGTGAAACAATGACACATTTTAGAACTTTACTCATTTGAAAATGATGTGAACAACTTTGTTGAATCAGGTAACAGTTTTTAAATATTGGAAGAGTATTTCCTCAGTTTTTTGTGCTATTCACAGTGTAATGGCTATGGACACAACACACTTTTAAGCATAATCTGTATTATCAACATATCCTTCATCACTATCTTAAGTCTAGAACATGGGTTGGCAAACTTTTTTAAAGGGCCAGACAGTAAATATTTTAGACTTTTGAGGTCTTTTGTCTCTGTTGCAATGACTCGGCTCTGTCTTGGTAATGGGAAAGCAGCCACAGATGATTCAGAAATGAATAGGCATGTCTATGTTCCAGTAAAACTTTATTTTCAAAAACATGTGGGCAGCCCACAGGTTTCCAAACCCTCATCTAGACAATAAACAACAAAAAAAGTCAAACCTTGATTTGGCATTTGCAGATTTTCATAGTGTAAATACTTCCTCCATGATCAACTTCAAGGTACCAATGGGATGTCACTGAAGTTGGAGTTGTATCTGTATTTTATTGTCTGTATATTGTATCTGCATTTATACCATACAGATACAATAGATATTCATAACTTAAGACTATAGATAATAGTAAAATAATTAGAAACTGATGAGTTCTGAGTATTTTTACCATTGTTTTTAATATAATTCAATATTTTTTTTATAATTTATCTCCTTGTAAGTTTATATAATTTACTTTTTGATAATTATTATGTTTAACAACTACCTTACAAAATTCCTGAAAATTTGACAGTTGGTTCTTGTGAGTGGGTCTGATCTGGCTCCAGATTACCACAATAAGAGAGCAGTAATGTTGGTCATTAGGTGCTCAGGAATAAGGTCTTATCAGAATCTTCTTAATTCAAGGGATCAGAAAAAGGGGGAGATCCTTTAACCAGATAATGAATCAGAAATAGACTCTGTTTTATCAAAGACTTACCTTTCATTCTTTGTAGAAGGGTTCCATAGCCTAAATCATACTGGTAGGTAAAGACAAAGCCTAATGGAACAAGAGGAAAGAGGAAGGCTGGCTTCTTCCTTTTTATTGCTCTAGTTCAAGAACAAAGAAGAATGAGTATCAAGAAATGACCCGTAAATACATATCTCTATACTCAATGAAAAAAATTCACCTGCCTTTTGAAAAAATGTCCTTCATTTCAAAGGTTACTTAATTCATCTGAGTCTCCTTTGAAAATAGGATTTTCTTACCTATAACCCCTCACTAGATTCTACAGTTCTCACGGGCATGGTCTATGACTTGCTCATCTTTATTTGATGCTGAGCCTCAGATTACTCTTTTTATAAATGGTTAAGTATTGCTATCCATCCTTTAGGGATTGTGGAGATAAAGTTATAGAAGCCTCCTTCTATCTCATGTCAAGTCAGTCCTCTTTCTAACTAATTAAATAGAGAAAAGGACAGAAGAAATCTAAGAAACTAAAGGCAGAATTGACTATTACTACCTTGTTTCTGCAGAGTTACTTTTGAGGACTAAGCTATAAATGAGTTAATCTGTTCACGTGATACAGTATTTGGGCCAAAGTCCTATCTTGGCCAACTTAATATGATGATGGTTAAGACAATAGAAGAAAATTATTTATGAAAATTTAAAAGTAAATAACAAACATACCCAGCTGTTAAAGAGATTGCTGCAAGGCTACAAAATGTTCCGAAATATTTGAGGAATTCTCGAGACCAAGCAATCTGCATGGCCATTTGTCTTTCTCTCATTTCATTCTGCATTATTAGCTGCCTTTCTAGCTGCGGACAAAATAAAAAAGTGTGGTTACTCATCTTTTATATTTGAGCACAGAGTTAACAATTTGCTTTTCCAGTGAATTTTTACTTTTCAATTGCTTTAATTCATTTTTTTTTTCCTCAATAGACTTTTACTAAAGTCTTCTGGACAGCTATCCCCAATTGTCACTTTGGCAATGAAATCTTCCTGAAATATGTACAGAATATATATGATATTCTTTTTCTGTGTCCTGAAGTATTGAACACATGTGGTCTGGAGCTTTTATCCAAGACTAAAATACGTGTTCAGTTTATTATATCACACGTGAAGAAAGATCTATGTGCTTGTAAATGAAGGTACATCATGTTGGCCTTTATTACAACTTGCACTGAAATCATTTTGCCTTCCAAATCCATCCAACTCCAAATTGAAATTCATTTGGAGTATCAGGTCCATATCGCTATGATATAATGGTAGAGGAGTATTATTTTGAGACATCGATAGAGATTTTTCTTTGTCACAATTTTATTGTTGCCTCCAGTCCTTTGCAACTTTAGTCAGTGCCTTTTATTGCTTTGGAGTAGAAATACACAGCCCAGAACACAGACTGAGGCTGGATTTCTAAATGGATTTTTAGAAAACACAAGCAACAATCTGAAAGTCCAAGCCCATTATTTTGAGAGAGTCAGATTCTTGAGAGAGCAAAGTTGTTTTTAACTCTAAAATCTTGGCATGGTGTATTATTAGTAAAGCATAGAGGATAGCAATCATAGAATTCATGATGTAAACCAGAGGTCCCCAATCCCTGGACTGTGGACTGGTACCGGTTTGTGGACTATTAGGAACTGGGCCACACAGCAGGAGGTGAGTGAGCAGCAAGCAAGTGAAGCTTCATCTGTATTTGCAGCTACTCCCCAGCATCACCGCCTCAGCTCTACCTCAGATCATCAAGCCTTAGATTCTTATAGGAGCACTGGTCCCTGGACTGTGGATGTAAACCGTAGGGTGGGGAGGAATGACTAATAATGTGACTCAGTTTCCCCACCATGCCTTCTTTCTACTGTGGGAAGGAACTGGAAGAGGAGAATGCGATTTTAGATATAAAGATGAGGCATAGCTCCTTGGCCTCTCTTTGGGGGTTAAGACTCCAGAGGATGTGATGGTTTGGGGGGTTTGGGGATCCCCAGACTGAGAGCACTTGTGGTCTCACCTCCTGTTGAGAATTCTGGGAAGGGGCAGCCTAAGTAGAACAGAAATGGTTGTAAGGCAGACCTGAGAGAAGCCACCTCAGGCTCCCTCAGCTGCCAAGGGTTATGGAGAAAGTCTGCAAGGTTGCCATGTCAACCTGGAGAGGGGCATAGAAAGTAGCTCAGAATTGAAAGCAGGTAGCTTACCAGGGAGTCACCAAAGCCTAGAGCCCAGAGCCCAGGGAAACCATAACAGACCCTTGAGTAGAGACCACAAAACAAGTGCTGGGTGGGGAAGGCAGCTGATCTCAGAGTTATCAGCAGCACCCCAGAACACAGTGGTGATGGCCAGGCCAGGCTGAAACATGGTCAAATGCTCTGAGAGCAAATCACCTGGCACTGAGGTTGATCAAAGAGAAAATAACAGCAAAAAAGCTTCCTCCAACCAGATGTGCCTTCTCTAATACCTGTGCCACCTGAGATCACCTGGACTCAGACCTAGACTGATCCAGAAAAAAATGGACAGAGAAAGAAAGGGGGCCAAACTGATTTCAACTCTATTTACAAAGAAGTGAGCTTTAACCTAGAAACAGTTGAGTCACTTTGACTGTCAAAATTAAATTTGCCATTGGCAGCAAATTTGAGTTAGAGAACAAAAATAGTGTTTTTGCACACATGATTATTTAGCATGTGAAATTCATCCTTGCTCTATAACTTACTCAAAAAACTTATATGCTAGTTTATAATATGTCCAAAAGTGATGTAGATGTATCAATTAATCATTTGTTATCAAAAGACAGCTGAATCCAATCACGACACAGATGAACCCAAGATCAGTGGTTCTGAACCTTAGCTGCACATTGTGAGCATCTGGAGAGCTTTTCAAAGTCCCAATGCCCAGACTCATACCTCAGACCAATTAAACCGGAGGGACCCATGAAACCATGATCAATCATCAGTATTTTTTAAAGGTTGTCAGGTAATTCCAGTGTATAGCTAAGATTAAGAACCAGTGCTTGAGATAAAAGAACTCACAACCTAGGTTTTTGGGTTTTTTTTCCCCTCCCTCCAAAGATCAAGCTGAAGTATTCTGAAAACTAATCCTCTGGGAACTCTCAAAAGATTGAGGCTTTTTAAGGGTAGTGGTACTGTCATGGTGGATACATGGCATCCTACATTTGTCAAAACGCTTAAAACTTAACAGCACAGGGTGAACCATACTGTATACTAATTTACCAATCACCCAGAAGGTCAGGGGATACACAGGATGGAATGTGGACTGTGACAAAATAATCTAATTATATTATAAATATATGGCATATCTTCACTGATGTGGGTAGAAAAAAAAGGAACTGACCTAACTTTGGAAAATGGTATTATGACCGGAAACTGTAAAACTAAAGACAAAAGGAACTATATGTAAATATTGCACTCTAGTTGCTAGAGTTACTTCTCACACAGTATAGGTTAACAATTCCGAAGCTACACGAATAACTGGAGATGAACAAACAAATTCATGGCAGATGGTAGGAGTAAGGTTTTTTTTACTATTAAGAGAGTGAGATTACAAAAAATCAAGGGGAAAACACTAGATTAAACCATGGTGTACTGGATTAGAGGCAGTGACATCAGTATGAACTCATGTTTAGCTTAATATAGATAACAGATAAAATTATAGATATACATGGTCGTTTAAGTACCTATACTTCCTAACTCTGTCCACTGAAAAGGCATAGAGGTGGTGACATCCCTGTAGCAATGAGCACACCCAGCACCCAGATTTTGGTTTATAATACTACTCTCCAATAAAAGGAGCCAGGGCTCTTTGGAGAAATAGCTGACCTAAGAGTGGGACAGAAAATACACAAAATGAGCTACAGTGTTTTGTAGGGCCAAAAAGTAAATAAATGCTCAAAAAAGAAAAATGATGGGTTACGTCAAAGGGACACAGGAGCTAACCTAAAAAAACTCCCAGTGGCCAAAGTTGGAACAATTCGAGCAGCAAAATGTATAACATAGTATTGGATTATGACCCAACATATAAATATCTGAATCCATATTGATATACAGGAAGAGATAAATTTCCTATAGAGAAGAATTCCAAATCATTTGTGTAGATTCTTCCCTGCCAAGTTCAAGGAGGTATAATTTAATTCTGACCCCCTCATGGTGGGCTTTGCTCAGTTACTTGCTTCCAAGGAGTACAGTCTGAGAGGGTAAGTGTAGAGAGGGGAAAGCATACGGTGGAGGAACCTGGCAAACACTACCTTGACCAAGTGGTCAATATTAATATCAGTGATGATACACATCAGTAGCATGTACCCTTGATGTAGTGTGATGAGGGAACTTCACATCTGTGGTCTTCTACCCAAAAACCCATAACTGCAATCTAACCATGAGACAAACCCAAATTGAGGGACATTTTGCAAAATACCTGACCAGTATTCCTCAAACCTCACGAGGTCATCAAAAACATGGAAAAGCTGACAAAATGTTATAGTCCAGAGGAGACAAGACCAAATGTCATGTGGCATTCTGGTTGAGATTCTGGGACAGCAAAAAATAAATTAGGAAAAAACAAATTATGAATATTTATTTACTAGTAATATACCAATGTTAGTGCCTTAGTTGTGACATCTGTACCATGGTAATGTCAGATATTGACTGTAGAGTACATAATAAATGTATTCAGGAATTCTATATCCCTTTTCTATAAATCTAAAACTATGCTAAAGTTTATTTTTTAAAATAGTTATGAACAAATCTTATATTCTGGGGCTGTACTACTGATGAGAATAGAGGCAATCATCTCTATATATCATAGATAAATTGTGAAAACAAGCAAGATTATGTATCTTCAAAAACTCTAAGCATAGAGTTAAAAACAAAAATCTAATCACAGCCTCTCCGTGGGCAAAAAATCTTGAAGAACATCTTTAAGCTGATAATTGTTAATTATCAATTAAAACTTTATTAATCACTCCATACTTTATAAAACTGTTTAAAGTCACATATCTAGATCCAAATACATTTTAAAATTCAAATTAATACCTTTTGTTATTAAACTTTTTCAGTAGCCATAAAGGGATAATTATATTAATGCAATTATTAATTTACCAATAATAGGCATCATTTAACTAAATGTACATTCATTTTTCACCCTTCTTCCCCAAATATTAAGAACTAAGAAAAAATAAGCAAAAGAGAAAGTACAAATTTCCTTAATAATCTCTACCCCAAATAACAAATATAAAATTCTTTATTCTATTTTAAAAGAATTTTAGACCTTTCTATAGTAATAATTCCCTATCTCTATTACTTTTGATATTGCTCTACAGAACAATTTGAAATTCAAAAGTTCCTGATTAGGACTTCAGATTCTAATGATCTTACAGGCTTATCTAATACTAATTTAACAATTATATGCCGCGGACCAGCCACGACAGGATCCAGGGGGACCCGAAGGTGGGCAAAGCGTTGGCGCGGGAGACAGTCGACTACACAACTCAGAGGCGGTGTAACACTGTTCCGTTTTATTGTGATTTGAGTACAACTTTTATACTTTTTATTTTGGCATTTGATTATACTTTGTGGTTAAGGTAGCAAGGAGTTAAATTTCTGTGGTTAGGCGAAGCAGAAAATCTTATAGAGTATATTATTATTAATATTCATGATTAACTAGTACATTTTTCTCTCAATCATTAGAACAGAACTACCTGATGAAACAATCTAAACTTTTAATTCTTATATCTATTACGTATGATACAGTTTGATTTAAGTAAAGGTGATAGATAGATGTATTCATAATAGCAAGCATTGGCTTGTGGGCAGACATT